TGACACAGAGTGCCACCATGTGGCTCAGGATCACCGTGGAGAGGTCTCAAAAACCGCGTTCAGCCATTTGACAATATTTATGGTCGGGCTATATTGCGGCCCCTGGCAGTATAATTATTACTAATCAGTCATCCCTTTGCTGGATGCAATTTTTCGTTATTTTAAAGCCCCACACTATGGCCTAATGGCTGAACGCTGTTTCCGGGACCTCTCCCCAGGTGACCCTCATCCGCAGGGCGGCACTTTGTGTCATCAGGTGTTTATTGCTTGCGTGATGTTCTAGTGGGGTAAAATGTACTAACCAAACAGTATTTTTGCTACAAAACCAACTTTGATCACTGTGTGAATAGTTTTCACTACAAAACCAACTTTGATCACTGCGTGAATAGTTTTTCACTACGAAACCAACTTTGGTCTCTGTGTGAATAGTTTTCACTACGAAACCATCTTTGATCACTGTGTGAATAGTATTTCACTACAAAACCAACTTTGGTTACTGTGTGAATAGTTTTCACTACGAAACCAACTTTGATGACTGTTTAATAATTTTTCGCTACGAAACCAACTTCGATCATTGTGTAAGTAATAGTTAACTTTCGATAGACATATGTTAACAACCCGTTGTAAAACACATCGTTGTGAACACGTCGCTTTGTACACAAGTGAGCATGCAACTGAGCCAGAAATAAAATTGTAAAATATTAGGCTGAAAACAACATTGTAAACACGACACTGTGGACCTGTCGCTAACCATGTTAATGTGAACACACCAATGTAAATATATCAATGTAAACACGTCGTTGTGAAAATATCACTACAGTAATGCAAGGGCGAGCAACTCACTCTAAACACATCAACGTAAACACATCACCGTGAACACCTCACTATGAGCATACTACTACCATTATCCCCCGTGTGGGTTCCGGGGCCCCATTGTAGGGGAAAACAAGAATAGACCCACTGCCTACCCAAAAGCATGTCGTAAGAGTCGACTAATTGGGGAGCTTCCTTTGAAGTCGGAGTGCATCTGCCGGAGAGGCAAGGAACCAACAGTCCTGTATGTCAAAGAATAAGATTTGTAAAACTGATGCACACGCAACACTCAGGTTCTGGAGCAGGACTGCAGTTCAGTAGTGGACGAACAACCAGAACTTTCCGCCAGAGTGTACAGCTGGTGAACGTGAAGAAGAAGAAGACTACCATTATGAAAGTGAACAATCACTACAATAATGTTCGCCTGAACACATCATTGTGAACATAACTCCATGAACACATCGTTGTGAATGCGTCACGGCGGTAGTGTTAGAGTGAACATATCTCCGTTAACACATCACTGTGAATGCGTTACGGTGGTAGTG